ATGTCGAGGTGCACTTTAAATAGTTCTGCATGCTATGAGCGATGAACAAAGTAATTATTTAACTAATTATTGTCGCAATGGGCGTCCAAAGATTAATATCTGTAGTAGCGTAATAGTAAGTTATTGATATTTTACTTCGTAAGTCTTTTCACAACCGTCACTGTTTACATTTTTCATCGATGCAGTTCCTTAGTTATTATCGCAACTTCGTGATACGTTGCCAAATCACACCCAGGGCCGGCTTCCGATTGCAAAATCATCTGGTTTTCTTAAAAAAACTTTTATGCTTTAACCACGCTACTTTACTCACCATGCGATTACCTATCACAGCAAGAAAACATCCACTACAGCTTGCCACATAGTTTAAAAACAACCTGTATTTGTAATATAAGAAAATAGTTTAAAAAATGGTCCTCAATAGCATCGTATGGTTTATTCACATAGATATTATTTTCAATTTAACTTCTTTACAATGAGAATATTATATACTTCTGAAAACGTTTGCAAAACAAAAATACACAAGGGAAAATCATTCAATAAATTGCAATACTGACATTATACATATAGGTGTATCTTAAACAGCACAAATTAAATACAAACTTACATTAATAAATATAATACTATTTCCTATTTTGACGCAACTAGCTGTCGAGGTTGAAGCTACTAGACAATGTTCATTACATACGGGGTTGTGCAAAATAAAAATGAATAGTCCTACTCTACGAGGGAGGGAGGGAGGTGGTGCAAGACTTAAATGGAGATCACAATACTACAGATAGCAGCNTGATGAAATCTTTAATTAATTACATAAATGTGTGAGCAAATTTGGACACCAATAAGGTTTTCCGAACACTTTCGGAACAGAGGTACCATTGACATTAAAAAAAGTTTTTTAAATGTTAACACTATTATTCTCAATTGGGAGGACTTTGATAAGACTTAATCGCGAACTTACTGGATTTATAGAAGATACATTTTGTAGACCGAGTCTCAGTTTTTTACACTACATAGTTTTAGCCTTCATTAGAGATTCCGTTATTCACAGTCTTCAACGTCTTATACGCTCGCTTTTAGCTGGCATAAGAATATACTAAAAGTGTCCGCTGCAATTCCTACCTGAGATCTCTTTTCTATGTTTACGATATTCCCTACAACGTCTATAGTGAGTAAAAGTAGGCGTTCTGTCAGCAACAGCTCTAGTTTAATTAGTAAATTGAAAGAAGAAAGAAAAGCGTAGAAAGAATACCACAGCTCAGTTTAGTGTTTTAAACAGTACAGTTTCAGCTTTTATCGGAGATTTCGTCATTCACACTTAATCGCGTATCATGGTCCCTGCCTTCGACTCATTATTACTCAAAATCGACTTATTTTTCACTCGCATATGGCTCTCTTAATACTCGCCAAAAAATATTCTGCGTCTTAAATATTGAACAAATTTAACTAGTAATAACATAGGTACATTATCATTTGCAATTAGATGGCGTCCCCAAAAATTAATGGCGAATTTACTGATTGTGAATCAAGTAGTACCTAATTGCGTCATGTACACTGAGTTTAGCATTTTAAACGGCTTTAATCGCAGATTCCGCTTATTATTCTCAAATTCGACTCATTTCTCACTCGCTTATATCTCACTTAATATTCACCGTGAAAAAATACTGCATATCTTAGAACAGATAGTGTAACTCAGTGCATTAATACTCTTACATTAGAATCGTTAATAGTTTTCCATATTGAACGGGTGTTACCAGTATAGGTACTGCAATAATAATAACGAATTTAAGTCTGAAGTTGTACGCCCACAATTTTGCAGAAATCAGAAACAAGAAAAACCTTTAAAAGAGAAATAATTCATCAAAGCGAACTTACGGTTCAGGGGTGTGGAAGGGTGAGTTGACATGTCGGACGTATTGAGTGCTCTGGAAAATACGGAAAGCGAGGGAGGCCAAAAAGTCCCTAGCCGTTAACAGGCCAGCTGCTGGGCGAAGAGTAAATCCGGTTTGACGCTGAAGAAACTGAGACATTTCTTCGAGTTGCGGGATGCGATCAGGAACGAATATGTCCTCCTCCTGAAGGAGTTTGAATACGCGACGATACTCGATGCAGGCGTGCTTCGGCATCAGTTCAAGGACAGTGTTGAACACCGACTTCCAAGTTTTGTTTTCGGTCTCGGTGTAATTAACATGGGGAATTGGATCACCACTGAAATAAAAATTTTAATTTATAGTCGATTTATTTTCTAAGCTTTTAGATAACTATTACCTAGTTGAAGTTAAGTGTAATTTACATAATTTGCATAACAGAGGGATTAGGTAATACATTAAAGTATGTAATTAAAGGTTAAATACAGAGTAAACAGAAGCTAGCCAATTAATCGATAAATCGATATGTCGGTGAATAATAATAAGACAGACAGTAACGGCAAAGCACACTACAGCCACGGTCGAATTTCTAATTGTGCAGATCAGAGGGTGCGTTATTAGGCCATGGTCAAGTTCTGTAATGCATGACTGCAAACTGGGTAGTAAAACTAATAAAATGCATGTTTTCGCTGCACAAACGCTAAACAATTGCGAAACTGACTGGCTGAAGGCAGCTTACTATAATAATGGAAAGAAAAAAATGAACGATTTATAAGTTTTTTTAATGGAAAGTTTAAC